CAATGACAGGGAATATTGCAATCAGCCCCAGTTCAAGAAGAAGGTTTTTCTGTGCATCAAGAAAAGCAAATATTCTGTAAGTGAATCCATTGCTATTTTTAGTAAAAGCCTGAAATATCTGTTTGCACACTACCGGTTTGGAATAATTACGATTTTTTGAATGCTTCTAAAAGAAGTGTCTTTTGCTGCATTTATTTGATGAAAATACATAAAAAATTGTGAAATATTATTACAATGTAAAATAACTGTTTTCTATGTGTATATATTGTAAAATGTAATCATCAGCATCATTACTCCAGTCTTCAGTGTCACATGATCCTTCAGAAATCATTCTAATATGCTGATTTGCTGCTCAAGAAACATTTGTGCTGCTTCATATTTTTTTAAGAGTAAGTGATTTTTTTTAAATATAAAAATGTGTACTTTTATTCAACAAGGATGTGTTAAATTGATCAAACGTTTATATTCATCAAATAATCCTGAAAAAAGTATCACAGTTTCAACCAAAAACAAATAATAATCATATAAAAAACAATAATCATAAGAATAATCATTAATAAATGAGAACCAATAATAATTAAGCAGCAAATCAGCATATTAGAATGATTTCTGAAGGATCATGTGACACTGAAGACTGGAGTAATGATGCTGAAAATCCAGCTTTGATCACAGGAATAAATTACATTTGATAATATATTCACATAGAAAACAGATGTTTGAAATTGTAATAATATTTCACAATTTTTACTGCATTTCTGATCAAATAAATGCAGCTTTGGTGAGCAGAAGAGACTTCTTTCAAAAACATTAAAAAAAAATCGTAATTATTCTAGACTTTTGACTGGTGTTCTATATGGTAAAGAATTGTATTTTATGCTTTTATTTTGGGGTGATGTGATGTGGAGCTTAAAGTGAGCTTGTAAGCAAAAGTCTATGATTGTGCCTTTAAGACACTCAACTCTCGAGATTGTCCTGGTAAATACTGCGAGCATCCTCAGATAATTCCCACTGCTTACTAACACTAAACGCTCGCATGCTGGATTTTTCCACTGTTTACACCACAAACAGTGAGTGTTTGAAGCGGGAACGTGTTTTCATCTTAAACTAAAGGACCATGAAAGTGAAACTATACTTTTACTATACCATAATCATTATTTTGATATATGTTTCCTCTCATACAAGCTTTACAATCATTGTACGAATTGGTCAAACCAGTGTTCAGATTAACATATTAATTTTTAGTTTTCTGAGAAGGGACTGAAATGTTACTGTATCTGTTTTTCTCTGTCAAATGTTTAATTTGTAGTCCGATAAATCACGAATCACCTTTGAATTCACCTGAAAAACAACAACAACGTCACACAGTTTAGCTTCAAAGGTGACATTTCTGCGTATTGATTGCACTCATTATTCATAGTTCTACTCATAGTGACTTAACAAACATTGCAAGTCAATCTTAGTATCACGCTTCAGTCTGAGACATTTATATCTTTGGAAACGCCAGAAAATTAAGTAACATGACATGCATTTTGTTTGCAATTCATCTCTTATCTGTTTTGTTGTGTTAAATAACTTAACACCTTGGGGCTTGGCCTCTATTATGGTCTAAACTAAGAGTTTTATGGTCATTTTCTTACATCATTTACATGTTAAACACGCAACACCTCCGTTCAGAATGATGGAGTTTAAGATCTTTGGTATGACAATTATCTAAGACTGGATAAACGAGTCCTTCAGGGTCAAATGTCTCAAGGTTTGCCACGTATCATGTGTTCTGCGTGAGATATAAGCAGCGATGACTGGATTTGTCTTGAGGTTGAAATGTTACCCTACGAGAGCAGATATAGATGTGTTGTGATTTACATTTATGGAAATCAGTTGGGTTTGGTAACTAAAATTTTGAACAAGAAAGAGCGAGTGAATGGAACTGAAACAGAGAAACAGAAAAATGGGATCTAAAATAGAAAAACAGGCAAATGAATTGCAGAGACGCATTGAGTCAGACTCATGAATACGGAACAGTGGAATTGAACCTGTATGGAAGACTGCTTCTGCCACAGGATAAAAAAAAAAAAAAACATAGATGTGTTATGATTTACATTTATGGAAATCAGTTGGGTTTGGTAACTAAAATTTTGAACAAGAAAGAGCGAGTGAATGGAACAGAAACAGAAAAATGGGATCTAAAATAGAAAAACAGGCAAATGAATTGCAGAGATGCATTGAATCAGACTCATGAATACGGAACAGTGGAATTGAACCTGTATGGAAGACTGCTTCTGCCACAGGATAAAAAAAAATAAAAAAGACTTTTGATGTCACAATTTAGGCTTTTTTTTTTTTTTTTTTTTTTTTTTTGGAAGTTACGAGTTTGTGTCTCGCAATTCTGAGAAAAAAAGTCAGTATTCCGAGATAAAAAGTCACAATTCACTTTATGATGATGATTTTTTAATCCATGGCAGTGAAAAAAAAATTGAAGCACAGAATTGTGGCATGTCGAGTCAGAATTCCAATAAAAAATGTAAATTGCTTTAACATTTTATTGATATAAATAAATATGATATTATAGTAATTCATTCTATATTTAAAAAATATTTTTTTAACAAGTCTATTAAAATATAAAATTAATTACTAAATATTTAAGAAAATTTGAACTGTATGAACATATGATGTGAACTTCAGTCCTCAGAATCGCAGAATTCAGTGAAACATTACAAAATTGCAAGAAATAAACTTGACAAACGTCAAAATTGTAAGAAAAAAAACTAAAATTCTCAGGAGTATGTGATTGAAAAAAAGTCAGCATTGTGCGATTGTCGCAATTATTTTCTATTCTATTCTATTCTGTTCTGTTCTATTCTATACTTCCATGAAATCCTTAACACAGATCTGGAGACCAGTTTTTATTTAGACTTTTGATTTTTGATAAAAATTCTTAAAGTTTCAAATGTATTTAATCTGCTATTCCAGCCTCATAATTCAGAAAGCTCCTGTAAAAAAAAAAAACTAAAATTCTCAGGAGTATGTGATTGAAAAAAAGTCAGCATTGTGCGATTGTCGCAATTATTTTCTATTCTATTCTATTCTGTTCTGTTCTATACTTCCATGAAATCCTTAACACAGATCTGGAGACCAGTTTTTATTTAGACTTTTGATTTTTGATAAAAATTCTTAAAGTTTCAAATGTATTTAATCTGCTATTCCAGCCTCATAATTCAGAAAGCTCCTGAGAAACTAGTCTGCATTATTTCACAACTAACAAGCTTTAAACTTACTGAAGAGCCTCGGGTTACATAAGAAGCCATTTTCCTTTACAAAACCTTGAATTTCTCTGTGAAATATTGATGTATTATTTCACATTCAGCAGGTAATGTTTTATGTAAAGCATATCTTAATTGTGATCATTCACAATTCAGTCCTTTTGGGAGGAGAACTTGCAAAAATTTAATTTAAGTTGCAAAAATGTAATGTTTTTACACCAGTTTGATAATAACTTGAATTTCTTTTCATTTTAAGGGCAATGCAATCAAGACCTACAAATACAACGCCTTCACCTTCCTGCCGCTGAACCTGTTCGAGCAGTTTAAGAGAGTGGCCAACCTCTACTTCCTGTGTCTGCTGATCCTGCAGGTAGAAACCAAGCGGCAACCTCCCGCTCTCTCTGGTGAAGCCAACACGGAAGTGACTTAAACTGTAATTCGTTAACTTGCCGCTAGAGGCTGGCTGCAAAAGTGAGTCAGTTCCATAGACTCCCCATGTTAAGATGCCCAACTTTACAGCAGAAAAAAACGTGTTTACATCCTGGTTAAAAAAATGATTTTGGTCTATATAGCTAATTTTGACCTTGATGACAACTGTGATTTTTTTTTTAATAATTTATCCGTTTAAATTATATTAAGCCTTAAAGTTCTGCATAATTAGGGGCGTGGCCACTTGAGTGACAGGTGGATTGCTGCTGCGGTCACCACCGTCGAGCTAGGTGGGCGTGATTTCAGCAACCTCTTTGCCCATTTTCGATTATCCGGGAGTGACGCGCTGCCAAGATGGCGACGGCCGGCTCCGCCCACTTTGAGCTTCAAAAACGCTCTTCAGGAACCTACGGGTGACGTCACGGACACTACGTCCATGTTTTTATACAGTCTGTGGTATAAACCCACAAGCACTGCCAGAGTTGACCTCACTGTGTCAGGATCGCAGGCTGATCAGGATGAGCGATCAGGGCTCGTATCACCATATTGAGATTTCTTTTGTGATAGTGACCTAACTGTGCGTTACATTTATTTAAAAAATAAACTGTTTCAGAGACATCATAAAATCATTTGTGTCGCACTGATAAATAAGATATTTATTATTTATTTATGAAAAATTTATGATTTATTATAATTTATTACAATTTTTTTTTTTATTATTATTATTTACATCTGTTGCTCAGCATATATATGTTGATATAAGTATGGAAAATATATAAAAAATATTATAGAATGAATTATTAAATAGTTTTTAGGAAAAACGGTTGATTTCAGTTTCATGTTGTCATTTTACGAATAATATGAACATATGATATGAACTTCAATCTGTTTTCATATGTCAGGTCATTCAAAATAATGAAATATAAAGTAGATTTATATAAAACTACATATATTTTGTTTTATTTATATGAATAAATCCAATTAAATTAAAATAATTAATTTAATCTTTCAAAAATAGTTTGTGTGTATAATGTATATCTTAAAAAATATTTATACAAATTTTATTGATATAATTTTATTGATATATTTATTGAAAATAAACAGGGTCTGTATGTCAGATCATTAAAAAATAAGTGTGTGTGTATATATATATATATATTAGTGCTGTCAAACGATTAATTGCGATTAATATGTGATATCTATATTTATTATGTATATATAAATACACACATGTGCATGTGTATATTTCCGGGGGGAAAACATTTATTTATTATATTAAATGTATTGCTATAATATTGAAAATGAACAGCTTTGTTTTTTGATTTGGTGTTGTTTTATGAATATGAATCCATGTGTTTGAATGCGTCAGATCATTCCTCAAATCTCCACGCTGCCGTGGTACACCACCCTGGTGCCGTTAGTGCTGGTGTTGGGCATCACTGCCATTAAAGACCTGGTGGACGACCTGGTGAGTCCCTGCCTGTGCTTTCTGGTGGAATGGTTTTGTTGAAAGGCAGCCATTAATTGTCAGGATCTGCTAATGGTTTCTGTCATCTGATCTGTGTCTCGTTGAAAGGCACGACACAGGATGGACAAAGAAATCAACAACAGAAGGTGTGACGTGCTGCTCAATGGCAGGTGAAGACCGAACTTTAATCTGCTTTAATACTGAAGTGCATGAGATTAGTGCTCATGTTTGAAAAAATATTATGTAAACATAAGGCTGAATTCTCATTTTTCAGGTTTGAAAAAACCAGATGGATGAACCTACAAGTTGGTGACGTGGTCAGACTAAAGAAAAACGATTTTATCCCGGTGAGTTATTTTTAAATCTATTTGCCTTCCTGTTGTTCCTCCTATTTTTTTTTTATTTTATTTTATTTTATAATTTTTTTTTATCCATGTGTCATTTGAGTGTGGTCTTCATCTGTTGTAGAGCATTTATACATTATAAAATAAAGAAATTTAATTAAGTTATACATTAAAATAAATAAACTGATCTGTTAAATTAACAATTTTTTTCTAAGAGACGTGTAGGTTTGCTGTATGCCATTTTAAATACAAATATATATATACAGATATACATAAAATAAAATAATGTAAATTAAAATATTTAACTTATATAGCGTATATATATATATATATATATATATATATATATATATATATATATATATATATATATTTTATAAAATATTTTACATTTTTATTTTAATGTTTAAAATATTATAATATTAGTGAAATATCCACTTTAAGAAACCTGAAGTATATCTCATTATTGTCTATTTTAAGGAGGGCCTGATTGTTTTATGCTCGTTTCTGGGCTTTTCCCTAATTTTATGTATCCTAATCATTAATAATTCTGTAGTTATTACATTACCTTGAATATTAATTTGGTTTCATGTCATGTTTATGCTCCATCCTGCATTTAGTTTGTTAATGTATGTGTTTCTTCACCCCTCCAGTCACTTCATTCATCTGTCAGGTGTCATGCTTTGGTTGGTTTCTCATTTTCACCTGTGTTTTGACCTCATGTAGGCCGATATTCTGTTGTTGTCCAGTTCAAATCCCAACAGTCTGTGTTATGTAGAGACGGCGGAGCTCGACGGGTAAGAGACACATTAAACACACAACAAGCCACGCATCAGTTTATTAAGCCTCTGAATCACACTCTTGCATATTTCCACGCTTTTAACACACAATGCCTATTTCTATGATGATTTTTTACAGTAGTCATAATCGACTTGTTCTAGCCACAACCATAAAACCAATTCTGCTTGCATGAATCAGTTTTTGTGTAATTTGATGACTTCATGTCAGCATTATGAACGGTCATTAAAGTGCTCGGACATGAGTTGTGTAATGGATTTGTTCTTTGTCTCGTACACTTCAGTCCAAACACAATCGCTTTATTTTGCTTTCTTTATGTACAAAAGAATCATAATTCAGGTCCTGGCTTTGTTTGTCTGTGAACTTTTGAATGGCTTCATTTATATAAAAAATTTAATTGATATCATTAAAAATGTAATATTTAAAATATTTTATACGATTTTCAAATGCAAGCCTTGTTTTAAAATGAGAAACCTGAAGTATTTCACATTAGTCTATATTTTAAGGTTTATAGATCCTAATTATGAAACATTTGATTGTCATTGCACACACTTGAATATTAATTAGCTGTCATGTTTATGCTTGCTTTTTCACATTTTGTCTTTCACATACAATAGAATCATAATTCAGTTCCTGAGTTCGTCTGTCTGTTTAAATTGTTTCATAAATATTAAAATACTTCATTGATATTTTTTATATTTTATAACATTTTTATTTTCATTAAAATCTTTGAATGCTTCAAATATTATAATATTAGTGAAAAATCTACAGCGAGAAACCTTAAATTTATGAATTGCACTGTGTTTGTGGATCCTAATTCATTACACACACCTTAAATGTTCATTTGCTGTCATGTTTATGCTTGCTTTTCCTCTGTTTTACATTTTAAAGTGTTTTTACATTTCATTTGTTTAAATACACTTGATTAATTTCGTTTTTTACATACAATAGAATCGTAATTCAGTTGCTGCGTTTGCCTGTCTGTGTACTTTTCCATTGTTTAGTAAATATATACAATTTTAAATATTTATTATTTAATTGATAGAATATTTCACTTTTAATATTTTATAAAAGCTTTCTCATTTTAATGTAAAAAATAGTATAATATTGGTGAAATATCCTCTGCAAGCAACTTGAAGTTGAAATAAAATATATATTAAAATTAAAATAAATACTGAATATAAAATAAAAAAATAAAAAAACATAAATAAATTAAATAAATAAAATAAAATATAATATTGAAATTAAATGTATATTTTTCATCGTTTCGTGAAAGAGGATGGGAGTTGGTTTTAGTGCTTCTTGTTGTCAAATGACTTTTATTAATGTAGTTTCTCATTGTCCAGAGAGACGAATCTGAAGTTTAAGATGGGTCTCAAGGTGACTGACGAGCGTCTTCAGGAGGAGAATCAGTTGGCCCGGTTTAATGGTGAGTGTTACACCTATTATAGGAGAGTTGACAGACTTGGACACAGATCATTTGTGTGCGAGTAGTTGCTTGATTGTGATTTTCCATGCATAAACACGTGTTGCCTTAAACCATGTGCTAGCCAGTAGGGCTGGATTTTGACACAAATTTCACGATTTGATTTGATTCTCATTCACAAGCTTGTGATTCGATTACCGATTCGATTCAATAGCGATTATTTTGGATATATATCAGTAGGCTACATGCCAAATTTTCTCAAGGAAAAACAAAATCGCTCAACTAATGCTATAAAATATACATGAGAGTCAGTTGGTACTACATTACTATAATATTAAAGGTTAAAATTGACTGATTTGTTGACTATACAACTGCTAAAATTACAGTTTTTAAAATAATAACGTTACAATTACATACTATTTCTATTTCAGTTCGTTTTTTTGAAATGGGATATAAACATTTAAATGGTGGCTGTCATGAAAACTTGATGGATTTATTCAAACATAAATTAAACATTGAAGAACTGTAAAAATTATAATGAATGTTATATGGTGCATATATTTAACAAAATGCCCCTCTCCACAGTTTATTTTTCTATCTGATTAATGAGTTTATGGTCACCGAATATGTTTTTCTGAGGTAAATGTGACTTTGTTTACAAGCCGTTATATTGACGTTTTTGCGTGGCTGAAACACTGATTGAGCGATTACATGAGACAGGATACGGATTGTAAAGTTGTACTCTTTCTTTTAACTTACCTTCGGATGTTTAGTCATGTTTATTTTGTGCTGAAACTGGTATCAATGTGGAGGAGATGATCAGTTCACAGCGATCTGTCACTCCACATTAAACAGCGCCAAAACGGCATTTATTGTTTGAATACTGCAATACAATGGACAGAATTTGAAATGTGGGACTGTTTTTATATTAAAAGTACCAAAGCACAATGCTTATTGCAATTTACTGGATGGGAGGTGCGCTTCAAAGTTCCGTCCATTAACTGAAAACAGGCTAGACTAATCGATTCTTGGGATTTAAGAATCTATATCATTCCATAAAAATGAGAATCGATTAAAATCGAAATATCGAAATTTTTTACCCAGCCCTACTAACCAGGTGCGGCTCGTTTCGAAACCAAGCAACTGGCAATGTTGTTAATGCTTCCATGTAACCATCCAGAGAATTTGCAGTGCAGTTTCTCGTTTTGTGTCTTTCTCAGCGTTGATCGTGTGTGAGGAGCCCAACAACCGTCTGGATAAGTTTGTGGGAACGATGATCTGGGACGCTCAGAGTTACCCGCTCGACCTGGACAACATGCTGCTCAGAGGATGCAAGATTCGCAACACGGACGAGTGCCACGGCCTGGTCATATTCGCAGGTCAGTTCACTTCGCCGACCGACACACTCTCACGGTCACGGTTCGGTTTGTGTTTGTGACAGCAGCTGTGATGTTTCGTTCGACAGGAAATGACACTAAAATCATGAGGAACGGAGGGAAGACCAGGTTCAAGCGCACCCTGATAGACAAACTCATGAACTACATGGTCTACACGGTCAGTTAAACACAGTTCACTGACTCCCACAAGTCATTTCGAGATTTTATTTGACATTTTTATTTATATTTACGGAGTATTTATTTATATTATTTATTATTTTTATTTATATTGCTATTTATACATTGTGTATTTATAGAGGTTTGTTTTATTACTTTATTTATAGAGGTGTATATTTACAGAGAGTGCGGTTGAGTTTATATTTAGTTATACAAAGTGATTTATAGAAGTTTAATTCATTTATTTACAGAGAATGCAGTCTATGCACGTATACAATGCATTTATTTTTATTTATAGTGCATTCATAATTTTATTTATCTATTATTTTGTTTATAGAGAGCGCATTAGAATTTTATTTTCAGTATTTTTATTTATAGAGTGAATTTATAGTTTATTAGTCTTATTTACAGAGAGTGCAATTTTTAGTTGTATTTATTTATAGAGTACATTTTATATTGTTTATGCATTTTTTAATCATTATTTGTTTATATTTTCACTTTTATTTATAAGTGCATAGTTTATCTATTATTTTTGTTTATAGAGAGTGCATTTTTCTTTATTATATTCAGTATTTTTATTTATAGAGTGAATTAATAGTTTTATTTATTAATCTTATTTGCAGTGAGTGCATTTATAGAATTTTGTTTATTTTATTCAGTATGCTTTTTTATTTTTAGTTGTATTTATTTATAGAGAGTGCATTTATATAATTATCATGATTTATTTTGTATTTGTATTTTTACTTTTATTCATGTTTTTATTTATACAAAGTTAATTCGGATTTATTTATTATTTTTTATTCGTAGAGAGTGCATTTATAGAGTTTGTTTATTTATATATTTTTATTTATTTATAGAGTACATAAAAATATTTATAGAGTTTGTGTTTTTATTTATTAATCTTATTTACAGAGAGTGTATTCGAGTTTGTTTATATATTTATATAGTACATGGTATAGAATATTTTCTTTTTCTTTATATAGACCATTTGTAGAGTTTAATTTATTTATCATATTTATTGTGCAAGCTTTATATATTTGTTTTTGTTTATAGGTAATGCATTAATAGCCTAATAATACAATGCAATAAATCTTTTCTCATCTTGCACCCTAATATATTCTCATCTCTCTCTGGTTCTCCCTGTAGATCTTTGTGTTGTTGGTTTTGTTGTGCGCTGGTCTGGCCATCGGACACACGTACTGGTACGAGAGCATTGGCTCGAAGGCCTGGTATCTGTACGACGGCCTCAACTACTCTTCATCTTACCGAGGCTTCCTCAGTTTCTGGGGCTACATCATCATCCTCAACACCATGGTGCCCATTTCTCTCTATGTGAGGTACGACAGCAGCCTCTCCTCCACTCTCTGAGCACACAGATTGCATTGTTCTTCAGATAACTCACTGGTTTCTGTTCTCTCAGTGTGGAGGTGATCCGCCTGGGTCAGAGTAAGTTCATTAACTGGGATCTGCAGATGTACTACGCTGACAAAGACACGCCGGCCAAAGCCAGAACCACCACACTGAACGAGCAGCTGGGACAGATCGAGTACATCTTCTCTGATAAAACCGGCACGCTCACGCAGAACATCATGGCCTTCAAGAAGTGCACCATTAGAGGACGCACTTACGGTGAGACAAACCACCAACCTTGCTTTTAGAGGAACATTCTAAGAAAGCTAACCCTGTAAATCCTACTCTGTCTTATTTGGTACACCAGTTTCTAAATAATCAACATAATCAAAACTTTTTGTACACAACAGTGTTATTATAGCTAAAACTAAAACCATTAAAAAAAACATTTTAGTTGATTAAAATAAATGGTAAAATGAATGGAAATAAAATAATATATATAAGAAGCTAGTTGCCAAGGCAATATTTCTCAATTTTTAGATTTAGATTATTTAATTATTTAATTTAGATTAACTTAATGTACTGAAATAACTGAAATAAAAATCAATAAAATCTATATAGACATTAAAAAACGACAACATTTAAACAAAATTACTAAAACATTAAAATTAAAATGAATATGTAAAATATAAAAATGCTAATTAATTTTAAATCTTTATAAAAACTATAATAGTCTCGTCTGATTGCTTCTTTTTTTATCAAGTAAAAGTCCTTTTAGTGTAATTATACAAACATTCACCTTCAGCTCATGATTCATGTGTCTTTTTACAGCGAAATCTGATTTTTATAAAGTAAATGTAAGAATAGCTTTGATATTGTTAGTAATATTTCAAAATGAACACTGGACTGAAGCAACTTAGGTTTACTTGATTATCCAGATGTAATTTTTTAGAAAAAAGTGAATATGATCACCAAGCTTTTGAGGAACGTTTATTTGTTCTTATCTCTCAATCATCATTGGATTGCATTGCATTATATGTTTTGATCATTTAAATCACATCTTACTAAGACATATTATTGGAGATATAGTGTGACAACTGATATTTATATAATTTTATGTAAGTATCTGCTATACTGTTAGAAACATCTTTTTGTCTATATAAAAATCATCATCCGCACCAAATTGCATATTTTTGCTCCGTTTGTGCCTCAGAATACAATTAACGTGTTTCTCCATTTCTAAAACCATCAGTCCACAATTTTCCACATCACAATCTGTCAAGCACATCTTACCAGCAAACATACACTCGTTCACATCCTTCTCTTCACTCTCTGAGGCAGAAGTCTCTAAACTCATCCTTTCCAATCATCCTACTATTTGTCCGCTTGATCCTATTCCATCTCATCTCCTTTAAGCCATTTCTCCTGCCGTTGTACCTGCACTCACTCACATCATTAACACATCCCTGTACATTGGTGTTTTTCCCTCATCATTTAGACAGGCTCGTATAACCCCACTACTTAAGAAACCCACCCTTAACCCATCTCTTTTAGAGAACTACAGACCGGTTTCCCTTCTTCCTTTCATTGCAAAAACACTTGAACGAGCTGTTCAACCAAGTCTCTGCCTTTCTTACACAGAACAACCTCCTCAACAGCAACCAGTCTGGTTTCAGAAGTGGACATTCAACCGAGACTGCCTTGCTCTCAGTTGTTGAAGCCCTAAGACTGGCAAGAGTGGATTCCAAATCTTCAATACTTTTCTTGCTGTATCTGTCTGCTGCTTTTGACACAGTTAACCACCAGATCCTCCTGTCAACCCTATTGGCAAAGGGCATCTCAGGAACCACACTCCAGTGGTTTGAGTCTTACCTATCAGATAGGTCCTTCAAGGTATCTTGGAGAGGTGAAGTGTCCAAGTCGCAACATCTAACTACTGGGGTGCCTCAGGGCTCAGTACTTGGACCACTTCTCTTCTCTGTCTACATGGCATCACTAGGTTCTGTCATTCAGAATCATGGCTTTTCATATCACTGCTATGCTGATGAAACTCAACTCTACCTCTCATTCCTTCCTGATGATCTGATGATAGCTGCTTGCATCTCAGCTTGTCTAACAGACATTTCTTGCTGGCTGGATGAAGGACCATCACTTTCAACTCAACCTTGCCAAGACACAACTGCTTGTGGTTCCATCAAACCCATCGTTTCATCACAATTTCACCATCCAGTTAGGCACATCTAACCATTACTGTGGTATGCAACTGCAACCGCTCGTTCTGGACTTGGCAAATGTCTTGTCCATCTGTGTATGACATGATTGTTTATTTGCTTTTGTCATTGTGCAGCGTCCTTGAGCTTGGGAAAGGTGCTATATAAATTAAACTTATTATTATTATTATTATTACATCAACCATAACTCCTTCAAAAACAGCCAGAAACCTTGGAGTTATAATTAATGATCGGCTGATTTTCTCAGACCACATTGCTAAAACTGCCCGGTTCTGCAGATTTGCTTTATTCAACATCAAGAAGATCAGACCCTTTCTTTGGGAACATGCTTCACAACTCCTTGTTCAAGCTCTTGTTCTGTCCAGGCTGGACTATTGCAATGCTCTCTTGGCAGGTCTTCCAGCCACTTCTTTCAAACCTTTACAATTAATCCAGAACGTGGCAGCAAGATACATTTTTAACGAGCTGAAAAGAATGCACGTCACACCTCTGTTTATCAATTTGCACTGGCTACCAATAGCTGCACGCATAAAATTCAAGGCATTAATGTTTGCCTACAAAACCACCACTGGCTCTGCACCCCTTTACCTAAATTCTTTACTTCAGACTTACAGTATATGCCTCTAGAAGCTTGCGTTCTGCAAGTGAACGGCGCTTTATCGTGCCATCTCAAAGATCACTTTCACAGACTTTTAAATGAAATGTTCCCTCCTGGTGGAATGACCTGCCCAACTCAATCCGAGCAGCTGAGTCCTTAACCATCTTCAAGAATCGGCTAAAAACACATCTCTTCCAGCTTTATTTGACCCTCTAACTCTAGCACTCTCTATTCTAATTCTATTCTTTATAATAAAAAAAACTGGTCCCTTTTAAACTTGCACTCTATTTATTTACTAACTGCTTGTTTTCTTTAAAAAAAAAACTAACACTTGCTTCTCTAACCTTTTTGTATTCTATCTATTTGTTTTCTTTTTATTTATTATACAATTAACAAAAGCAAAAAAGGCCTCTAACACTAGCTTGGTCTATTCTTTTTCTATTCTATCTGTTTTCTTTTTATTTATTATATAATAAAAAAAAAAACCTTGCTACGTGTAGTGCATTAAGCTAACTGAGACTTGTTATAGCACTTGTATATCATTGCTCTTTTGTTGATTTTGATTGCTTCCATTATTCTCATCTGTAAGTCGCTTCGGATAAAAGCGTCTGCTAAATGATTAAATGTAAATATTCTCACATTATCATACTATATGAGCCATAAAAGCCTGATTATCATATATAAGTATAACTTCAATAAACTGTTCCATTTCAAAACATTACTTTTTTCTAACTACTATTATTTGACATGTCAGGCTTTACAGGGTTAAAACATGCAGTCAAGTTGAGTGAAATTTAACCACTTGTTATTGAGGTTTTATCTTTCAAAGCATTAGATGCATTTAAATCAAGTATGAAAAGAGCTGATGCAAGTGTTGAATGTGTTTGGATGAGTGTCAAAGGCGTGTCATGTCTGATCGGATATAATCCTTGGTTTATATGAGGCCAGCTCACAGCCCTCACGTTTGTATTCGTGACTCCAGAGATGTGTGTGTGTGACTGTGGGGTGCCTCAGTGTGTGACTGTGGGAGAGATTTGAGGCTTTAGTTTCACACAGGTCAGGTTTCTGACCTGGATGAGATTAAAATACGCTGACACCTTCGATCTTGCCATGAAATAACTTGATATCATCTGTTTTACGCTTCAGTAGCACTCCTTTTCCTTAATTACATTACATTATTAGAGGCTATTACAGTTGCTCATGCTTATAAACCTCTAACAGTGAGTATTAAATGAGTGACTCGTATTTGAGACGGCTTGTTAAGTTAAAAGGTATCTTGTCTCATTCCACGCTGTCTGCACTCAGAAGTGTGCTTTAGTGCGTTCAAATTGTTCAAATCATCTAGCGCTGTTTAAATTGTTGTTGCTTTAATAATTACGTGAACTAAATTAGCGTGGTAATTGACAGTGCTCTGTGTTGATCTATAGGTGATCCCACCAGTGCAGACGGTGTGGCCTTGGACCGAGGAAAGGTACGTATGCAGAATGCATTTATGGAGTTTTATTTATTTACTTATTTATTTTTTTATAAATTTTTTTAAAATTTATTTACTATGTCATTTTTAATACATGCAATACATATTATTTTATATTTTAAATACAAGTTCTTTTTTATTTCTAAAGAGTACATTTATGTAGTTTTATTGATAGACTGATTGATTTGATTTATTTTTATTCATAGAGAGTACATAAACAGTTTTTGCTGAGAGTGTTTATCATTTTATTGATTGATTGATTGATTATTATTTGTATTTATTGAGAGTGTATTTATAGTTTTATTGATTGATTGATTAATTGTATTTTTATTTATAGAGATTATATTTATATAGTTTTATCTATTGATTGATTGAATGATTGATTTTTATTTATTGAGAGTGCATTTACAGTTTTGTTTGTTTGTTTATTTATTTAATTGTTTTTATAGAGCGTGGATTTATAGGATTTTATTTTTATTTATAGAGATTACACTTATTTACTTTTATTCATCGAGAGTGCATTCATAAAGTATTTATTTGATTTATTTATAGAGTGTACATTTATATAGTTTAATTTATTTATTCATTTTAGATTAATTATGAATTTAATTTATAGAGAGTGTTTATTAATTTTATTTATTACATATTCAATATATGACAGGATTTCATTTAGTTTTAGCTAATGTCATTTTAAGTTAGCATTTTAACTTAACGTTTTTTTTTTGTCAAAATGTTTGATTGGTCACTGATATTCATTTAATTTTCTCTCCCATTTTTACTCAGCCTGTGGATTTCAGCTGGAATGAGAATGCCGACAAGAAGTTTGAGTTTGAAGACCATTTCCTCGTTTCCTGTATCCGTTCGAAGAAGGATCCGCAAGTACTGGAGTTCTTCAAACTCCTGTCCTTGTGTCACACCGTCATGGTGGAGCAGAAAGAGAGTGAGGAGACAAAAATATCATTATCTGTTGAGTAGGCCTAGGTGATAAAAGGGTATCGGTATTTATTGACGGTACACCTTCTTCGATAACGATAGAAAAATGTTTCGATATAGCGCACGATATAAGCACATTCTATGAGTGACGCAGACAGCACACACAAACACAAACACATGCTGAAATGAGTGCTGTGCCTGCCTGTGATGAGGAGATTGTGAAATAAAGTTAATTAAAATTAAAATTAACATTTGCATTTGAATGTTAGGAGTGCGTCTGGAAGCGTCATCAGTGGCACGCGAGATGCGGTGATGGTGTATGTGACGTTGTTGCATTTTAATGTTTTGTTAGTCTAGCCCACGAGACGCGCCGCTGCTGTGTTATGCATTAAAAAAATTAGAGAAATATAGAAGCTCAATGCGGAGAAGATCTTGAATGGGTTAAAACCGATACCAAGCCATTCACACGAACGCATATTCAGCGCATTTTTTAGACGGACAAATATGACTGCTGCACTCGCGTCTCACACAAGAGATGTAGACAGCCGTGCAAAGTTAAAACAGTTTAAACTTTTAGAAAACACGTCATTAATTTGTGGAGGTTTATTCCTTTTATCTGCGTCTCGTATGTTTTTAAATGCAGTCTGTGTTGGGCGCTTCGGCTCTTTGGATTAAGCAATGCATAAATACATTATGCTGTTTTGTTCATAATTGTTTATGCAATTTACGAAATTGTATTTGATTTAATTTAGACGTAATGCACATTTTTTATAGAGTTACTTCCTTGCGTTGACAATTTAAATGCGCTGCATTATTTTGCTCATTGCGCCCTCCTGTGGCCTCGGGAGACAAGACAAAAGTTTCCTTAAGGCCTACTTAATCTGCATATAAAACACTAGAAATGAGATATTCGTTTAATTTTTATTTTGTGTTTGATTGTTAAAACTAAAAAATATTTGTTGTTTGTCTCAATAAATTGGGTTAATTTAACAATACAGTGGTTAAATTTAAACTTTCTTTTTCTATTGCTTTTTGTTTTAAAAAAGGTTATAAAAAATGTCAATAATTATCGATACCGAACGATATGAAACATTATATCGTTGATACATTTTTTAGCTATATCGCCCAGCCCAAGCTGAGATTATGCAAAAATAAACCATTGACACAGTAATCAAGCATGTATGCTTTCATCTCAGAATTATTTAGCTTTCCTAATCCTACTTTGTGTACTATCTGCTCAAATAAGTAAAAAGTACAGAAAAATGCAGCAGATATTATTTAAAGTTAATTTATGTACTGCATATTTTCTCTGTGTTCAGATGAGCTGGTGTACCAGGCCGCGTCTCCTGACGAGGGCGCTCTGGTCACAGCCGCACGCAACTTTGGGTTCGTGTTCCTGTCCCGAACGCAGGACACCATCACCATCATGGAGCTGGACCATGAGGAGACCTACGAGGTGCTCGCTCTGCTCGACTTCAACAGCGACCGCAAGCGCATGTCCATCATCCGTGAGTCCTGCTGCTCCTGTTCTTCACTTCCTGTCTGTCAGTCGCCGTCACCTGTTTCTCACTCTTGTGTGTGTTTGTGTGTAGTGAGATTTCCAGATGGTAGAATCCGTCTGTACTGTAAGGGCGCAGACACTGTGATCTACCAGCGACTGGATGCCAATAGTAAGAATAAAGAAACCACGCAAGAAGCTCTGGATGTGAGTACTAACACTATTAACAAATTCATTTGCATATGTTAATGAGGTTCAGCATGCCATTGCAAATTAAAGGGACAGTTCGACAGTTTTGTCATCATATTATTTTTTTCCATGGAATGCAAAGATTTTTAGAGAATGTTTAATGGAGAATTTTTAAATTACATTTTAAATTTTTTAAATGTGTCACGCTCCAGTAGATAAAACACCATAAAATAGCATAAAAGTACTCTAGAAGCAGGGTTATTATATCTAACTAAAACTAAAACCATAAAACCAGGAATATAAAATTTGAAATTAGTGCTGCCAAATGATTAATCACGATTAATTGCATCCAAAATAAGTGTTTATTTACGTAATACTGTATATGTGTGTGTACTGTGTATATTTATTATGTATATATAAAAACACACACAGTATATATTTTGAAAATATTTTACATATATATTAATATAAATTATATAATATATAAATATATTTAATATATAAACGTAACATATTTTTCTTAAATATGTACATGCATGTGTGTGTATTTATATAGACATAATAAATATACACAGTACACACACATATAGTATATTATGTAAACAAAAACTTTTATTTTGGATGCGATTAATCACGATTAATCGTTTGACAGCACTACTTGAAATAAAATCAAATATAAAACAACTTAAACTTATAAGGCAACATTTCTCATTTTCATTTAGTTTGTCTTGATGCACTAATAACTAAAACTAAGAATGAATAAAAACTACATAGACTAATTACAAAAAACTAATAAAAGTCTCAAACACAACAAAATCAAAAAAAAAAAAAAAAGTTCAAATTAAAATGAAAACAGAAAAACTATAAAAGTATCTCATTGGTACTAAAATAATCCAGATTCAAAGTCTCAGTAGCCATAGGATTGCTTTTTGTGAGGAACAGACTGTGAAGTTGATGCATCATGTCAGATTTGATGGCATTGACACCAATGATAACTTAATAATTCTGGTTTCATTTTACTGGCATATTAGAGTCAAAGGTTTTTGCAGAGGGGATTTTGGATATCTCTTTTTATTACTCAATAAATCAGAAAATACTGTTAAAAAAGACATTTTCACCATGTTTTTAGGAATAAAATCAAGAACATTATATATAAACAAACCCCTCAGTAAAAACTTTTAGAATATAGATAAAAATATAACTGTATATGTTGGTGTATGTACGTGTGGCTGAAGTTGAGAAAAAACTCAGCAATTAAAATGATGTATTGTAATTGAAATCTACAGATTAAAAGTGCAATAAGATAAACAATTAAATGTTTTCTTTCCACTATTCTGAAACAGCACAAATAGCCCAAAATCTCAAAATTGACTGGTGTATGAAAAGATTTTTCCTGTAGTTTCTTGCTTAAAGCAGAAGAATAGCATGCATTGTGTGCTAAACGGTTGGATTTCTCTTTCAGATCTTTGCGAACGAGACGCTGCGAACTCTGTGTCTGTGCTATAAGGACATCAGTCAGGCGGAGTATGACGCCTGGTCTCAGAAACACCAGGCCGCCAGCGTTTCGATGGGGAACCGTGAGGAGGCTCTGGACGTGCTGTACGAAGAGATCGAGAAAAATCTTCTGGTAGGGAAATAAGAAAGGAAAATCTGTATTCATTTCAGGGAAGTGACTAGTGATCGATTGATATATTAGTCAGGCTCATTAACCTGCCAGTGTTTGGCTAATTGCTATTGGCTGAGAACAGACACTTTTTAGAAGACCCTTTTATCCAAAGTGACTTAAAAGTGAGAATAATATAATATGCTTACTGTTCAAAATCTTTTCAGGTTGATAGTGTTTAAATTAATAATGTAAATTTTGATTAATGATAGTGTTAAACAATGATAGTGTTTAATAAAATTTCAGCAAATTTGTGAATGTCTATTTTGTTAAATTGTACAAACATATTTTTATATATTGTATAGTTTGTTAATATTAGAAAATATATACTTTTAATTAAAATTTCATATTAAATCGAAAATGCTAATAAACTTAACCTATTATATTTTGTTATATTACTCATCCTACTAGATATATGCTATATATCTTACGAAAATCTATATTTGTTAAAAAGAGATTTAATAAAAAGTCATATTAAATTTGTTAAATGTGCTAATAAAACATTTTTGCATGTATGTTATATATAAATATATATTAAATATATTACATGTATATTATAAAATATATTATTATTATGTTATGTTTTATGTTATCATGTTATATTAGATTTTGTATTATATACAAATTTATTTTATGTAATTTATATATTATATAAAATTATACGAGATTTCTCTCTCTCTCTCTCTCTCTCTCTCTATATATATATATATACAGTATATACATACACACACATACATGCATGCATGCATACATACATACACGTGTGTGTTTGATGAATGTGTCATTTGTTTATTGTTTCAGCTGATTGGAGCAACAGCCATTGAAGATAAACTTCAGGACGGCGTTCCAGAAACCATTGCAAAACTGGCCAAAGCTGACATCAAGATCTGGGTTCTGACCGGAGACAAGAAAGGTGAGTGATGATCGTGAAATATTGTGTTATTATAAAACGGATAGTTCCGGTCCTTGATTCTGATTGGTTGAGCCGCGTTCGAAGCTGTAGTAAATTACTCTACAAACATACACCTGTGTTTACTACTACCTTTGTTGGAACCACAACTGTTTCTGAGGAACTACATTGTTTGGCGGAAGAATACTATTTATTTATTTATATCATTACACTTTATTTGCTCTGTTTTATTCTGTGAAACCTTACTAGGTACTACGTACTCCGCTTCGTGTTGTGCCTAACAATGCCCCTTAGCTGTTGTAAATTCACTGTTATTATTGCTTTATTTTAAGCGAGATAGGTTTGATTTCTAATGGGTTTTGGTTTGTCTCATACTCAGAGACGGCTGAGAACATCGGCTTCTCCTGCCAGCTGCTGACCGACGATATGAAGATCCACTACGGAGAGGACGTGAAGTACGTGCCAGCTGACGGACGTCTGTGAATGAGTCAGTGGCTTGAGATTGAACGTCTGCTTTAACGACTCTCGTTGTTTCTCTCTCAGTGTTCAGCTGAGGAACAGACAGACCCAAAGGCGCAACGACCCTCAAGGACGCAATAAGAAGCTGAAGGAGCCGTTTTTCACAGAGCCCGGCAAGAACGCGCTCGTCATCACTGGAGGCTGGCTGGTGCGTTCATCAAACACTGATCCACGCTCACATTATCTGTCTAGGGTGACCAGATTTCTCATGGTTCAATATGGGACGGGAGGGGGATATATGACCATGTTATGAGAAATGTTATTTCATGATATCTAAATTATATTTATATATATATATATAGTTATTTTTATATAAAAATAAAGAAGCAAGTTACAAACCGTAAGACAAATACAATAGATACAAATTAAATATTAAATAAACTAATTTTTCTAATACAGTAGGTTTAACATGTATACATTTATTTAACATCTTTTGTTGTTTGATTAACATTAATGAGACAGACAAGTATTTAATTAGGCTACTGTCCATTTAAGGCCAAATGAATGTAATATACTGACACACATCCGGTTTTCACCCACCTGTTTACATTCACTTAAGCCATAACCGACTGTGTTTACGTGAGATTCTCCACATGATGGATATTTTGACAGGTGTGTGTGTGAAGGAGAACTGATCGCAGAACTGGGATCGCACGGGCGCACGGCCGAGAGAGCGTTTCCGTTGTGTTTCCATTCTATCCGTATCTATCCCGCCTTCACTTACTGCAAGTTAATCGATAACGGATTGTGATTGGATGGTAATTTTGTTCTACGATGAGCTTAGTTACCTTTGATTAGGCTGTTCTCGCGTGACAGAACACTTCTACTACTCGCTGTGATCACCCAGTTGTAAAGAAATGTTGAAATACGGGACAAAACTCGATTTTTTCTAAATAAAAGTCAGGACACTAAAAATAGAGCTGAAATACGGAACTGTCCCGGGAAAAACGGGACACGTGGTTACCCTATATCTGGATTCATTTATCAGACCCTTCTTTTGACAGTAATGTAATATGTATAATGTTAAAGTCTTCAAGTAAATTTTAAGTTGATATTGTCTAAAATAATTTAATTTCAGCAAGTTAAATTGTTCAAAAATATTGGCATTATGTCAATTGGTCTGCCAGGTATCTGCAAGATACTGTACGTTTCTTTTGTATATTTCTTAAAATTTGAAAAAAAAAAAAAATTTCCCCCTGTATATTATACATAAAAAATATATTGAATAGAAACATCAAATAAACAAAGATATACAAAAAAAAAAAAAACTATCATTGAAGACTGGAGTAATGATGCTGAAAATTCAGTTTTGCATCACAGGAATAAATTATGTTTTAACATATATTCACATAGAAAATTGTTATTTCAAAGTTAAATAATATTTCACATTACTACTATTTTTACTGTATTTTTGATCAAATAATGAGCCTTGGTGAGCAAAAGAGACAAAAAAACATTTAAAATCTCAAACTTGAATGGTAGTGTAATGTTCAAATTTAAATAAAAAAAAAATCCAAAAAAGGTTTTTTTTTCCTGGTATAATTTGGCTGGACAACACATTTTATTAAAACAATCAAACAAACAAAGAATGAATGAATGAATGAAATATGGACAATGTCCTGCAGTTATTGTTGCTGAAACATTGAAATGAACAATTTGCATGGAAATAAAATGTTAAAATACAATACATTGGCATTATCTAATAATTTCTATTCTCACAGAAGACTGATCATAAATTTACATTTATTACCTTTAAAATGGAAATCAATAAAGTTCATCAGGACAACAGGAGGTGAATAAAAGATGTTCAAGCCTTGAAGTAAGAAAGTAAAAACTAAAGATCTCCATCTATTATTGAAACTGCTTTCTGGTTTCTGTGCAGAATGAGATTCTGTATGAGAAGAAGAAGAAGCGCCGTCGCTTGCGTCTGAAGAAGCTGAGGAAGCGGCACACAAACTCCAGCAGCGCTACGGACAGCAGCCAGCCTGTGGACGACTGGGAGAAGGAGAAGAGACAGGAGGACTTCGTGGACATGGCGTGTGAATGCAGCGCGGTGATCTGCTGCCGCGTCACGCCCAAACAGAAGGCCAACGTGGTCAGTCTGGTCAAACGCTGCAAGAAAGCCGTGACCCTGTCCATCGGCGACGGAGCCAACGACGTCAACATGATCAAGAGTGAGTGAGAGCTCTATCTGATTCCTGAATCCTGTGTTATTTTACTATCATAACGATTCATAATATTTAGAATGAGTTTTTATCATTTTATACTTTATCATGTTAATTTTTAAAATTAAAGTTTTAGTCATTTTGTTGTGTGTTTTTGTCATTTTTATGTTTGTTTATATTTATAAATTATAAATGAAATACATTTATCTTTTGTTTTGGTTTGAGTTATTGTAGTACTTCAGGTTAAGCTAAACCAAAATCAAATACGTTGTTTAGGCAACTAGCTAAAATAAGTTCAGAAGTGAAGGTTTAGAGGCAACTTTAAGTTCTTTTGTCTAGGTTTTTATTTTATTTTTGTTTTCTGTTATGATTATAATTTTAGATAAAGTTTTAGTAATTTAGTTGTGTGTTTTTGTCATTTTTGTGTTTTATTTTATGTCTGTTTTTTATTATTTATTTCAGTTTTAGTTATTTTAGTAGTTCAAATTAAACTAAACACAAATCGTGATTGTTTTGGCAAGTTGTGATTTTTTTTTTTTTATAATACATGGTAATATGTGTATGTACAGTATGTGTATACTGTGTTTAATTTGTTAATTTGTTTAAGTTTTTGTTGTGTTTCTAGCTTTTTTTTAATGTTTTATTTCAGTTTTGGTTATTTTAGTACTTAAAGTAAAGCTAAATAAATATTTGAAATGTTTCCTCACCAACTAGCTGATATCTAGTTTACATATTTTATTTTATATTACTTTACTTTACTTTACTTTAAAGTAAAATGGATATAGTTCTATTTTTATTTTAGATCCAGAGAAGTTTTATTCCAAGTATGAATTGATTTGAAGTGTTTTCTCAAGAGTTTGGAAGTGCCGTTGCACAGCTAACTTCTCCTTCCCATGCTCCTGTGCAGCTGCGGACATCGGTGTGGGCATCAGCGGTCAGGAGGGGATGCAGGCCGTGATGTCCAGCGATTACGCCTTCGCTCAGTTCCGTTATCTTGAGCGCCTCCTGCTGGTCCACGGACGCTGGTCCTACATCCGCATGTGCAAATTCCTGCGCTACTTCTTCTACAAGAACTTCGCCTTCACCCTGGTGCACTTCTGGTTCTCCTTCTTCAACGGCTTTTCCTCACAGGTTAGAGAGAGATTTACATTAGGAGCTGATTTACAGACCTCATCACAATATTGGAATGTCTAACTTTGATACAATACCATGACAAATATTGATATTCAGTACCATTCTCGATACTATGAGAAAAGTTGCCTCTACATTAAGGGTGCAAAAGTTGAACAGCAACTGAGTTCATTTACTTTTAACCACAAAGTATTTTCCTATCAACTGAAACTCTTGCCTGAGATTCAAGCCTCATAGGTTAATAATAATAATAATTATTATTATTTTCAGTGCATTTACAGTATATTATAATAGTAATATATTATCTCGTAGAAATAATAAAAGAGCAATTAATATATTTATAATGATGATGATTATTATTATTAGTAGTAGTAGTAGTATTACAAATATTTTTATTTTTACAGTACAATGATATCACAATAGTCTTAGAAATAATAACCATAAATCAATCAACAAATAAATAAATATATTAATAATAATAATAATTATTATTATTATTATTTTTACAGTGCCGTTATGTTACAATAGTAAAATATTTCCATCTTCGAAATAATAATCATAAAGGAATATATTAATAATAATTGTTGTTGTCATCGTCATATTATAAATGTATTTATTTATTTTTTTTTACATATTTTATATATTTGTTTTATGGTGCAGTTTTATTGCAAAATAAATATATTTGTTAATAATAATAATAATATAACTATTATTATTATTATTATATTTATTTATTCCTAAGACAGAAATGTGTTACTATTGTAATACAACCCTACTGTAAAATAAAACATGAATATTAATTAATAAGTATATACATTTTTTTTTACAGCAGAAGTAAAATTACAATATCTGTCTTCACTTGCAAGAGTTTAACCCTCAAGCTTTTATTTAGTTGGGGAAAAAAAACAGGTTTCTGTGACCACAGGTGTACAAATGCTTCTCATTATAAATATAGTGAAATGCTGTAATCATCGGTCCAAAAAAAGATGGAAAAATTATGCGAAACGTGACAATATAGCATATCTGGAGGTGCTTTGTGTTCCCAAGCGCACATTAAACTCCCAGCACGTGCATTTACTGTGACTCTTGTTTTTAAAGAAGTGAATGTTGTGTGTGTTTTGTAGACGGCATATGAAGACTGGTTCATCACGCTCTACAACGTCTGCTACAGCAGTCTGCCTGTTCTCCTCGTCGGCCTTCTGGATCAGGTATCGCTTCATTACCAGCTGTAATCTGTGCAAACTGTAAAGCCACCATCAAATCACAACTTTAACTGCCTCTGTAGGATGTGAACGACAAACTGAGTTTGCGCTTCCCGAAGCTGTATCTCCCGGGGCAGCAAGGATCGCTGTTCAACTACAAGAACTTCTTCATCAGCTTGTTCCACGGCATCTTCACGTCCCTCATGATCTTCTTCATCCCGTACGGCGCGTTCCTGCAGACCATGGGACAGGACGGCGAGGCTCCGTCTGATTACCAGTCCTTCGCTGTGGTCGCAGCTTCATCGCTCATCATCACCGTCAACCTGCAGGTGCCGATCATGTGACAGCATCTCACTTCATTCTAGACTGTGACTGATTCAGTACTCAAAAGAGGAGGCTCTTGTCATTGATCTAATGTGATCTTGTTTCTTGTCGCTCCAGATCTCGTTAAACACCTCCTACTGGACGTTCGTGAACTGTTTCGCGGTGCTCGGCAGTATAGCCATTTACTTCGGCGTCATGTTTGACATCCACAGCGCAGGAATCCACGTCATTTTCCCAACCACCTTCACTTTCACAGGCGGGTGATAAAGTTCTGCTAACTTTTATTGCATATCTGTTGATAGTTTTCATAACTCTCGTAATTCCAAAATGCTTCAAAATGAAAAATAAAAGCAGCCCATGCAACCTTTTGCGCTAAAATCCAGATCTTTAGCTTTATATGAGGAGGATTTCCCGGACACGTGATGGTGTCAAAATGACAGCGATGAGGATTGGTGATATGAATGAGAGAAAAGTATCACAGTATGTGCAAATTGCATGATTATTGTGATTTAGTTTTAGTGATTTATTAGGCTTTTTATGTATAACGTGATATACATGTTTTCATAGGAATATAATTCAAAAGCTGCAAAATTAAATAATCCCTTTGTCCTATTGACTTCAAATAAAGAGAAGGCAGGCTTTTCACAGAATTGAAGAAAATGTATCATTAGTTTTGTTATATATTTTAATTTATTAATGTAAATTACAGTCAAAACGAATTGATCAAAATGCTAAATAACTTGAAAAAATTGTTGCATTCAAAATTTTTAAATATGCATTTGATATCATTTAGAAGGTTCTTAACTATAATCCTTAACTAAATATTAAATAAATATTGCATGATATGCATGTTTTTTTTGTTCTGTTTAGAAATGTAATTCAAAATGATAATAAAATGAATGGTCAAAAAGGCTGATTTATGATCATATATTATTTTATTTATTTTACTGTTATATTCATTTAAATTGCACTCAAACTAATTTAACAATTTTGCACAACTATTTAAATTTAAATTTGTAATGTTTTTTTTAATATATATTTAAAATAAATCTAAGCTTTTACTAAACTAAATATTCTTTTACTAACTAAAGCTATTAAAATTACTTTTTTTATTTAAATAAAGCTGAAATAATATCTAAATATTAGATGGAGAAACTTAAACTAAATGAATATTTGAAATGTTAATTTGGCAACTAAGTCTAAGCTTAAGCACTAACATGAATAACTATAAAAAATAAATACATAAATAAAAAATTAAAACTAAACTAAAGCTGAAATTAAAAATAAATTAACCTAGTAATATTTCAAAAATGTCAAGAGGACATGATAAAAATTCAAATAATTAGACAAAAATGAAAATGAAAACCTGAAAATATATATTAAAAAAATGCGAGTGATATTTAAAAGTATTAAAAAGTCATATTTAAAAAGGTGCATAACAAAATGACTAAACATTCAACTAAAATTACAAAGTAAACCTGAAGAAATGTAAAATAAAAATAAATCCTAATTGTATAAAAAAAAAAATTACAAATGACAAATGCACAAAATAAAATGGCTAAAAATGAAAACCTGAAAATACAAAAATAAATGCTAACAGTAATATTTAAAAACAAAAACTACTAAAAATGACAAAAGTGCTAATATTTAAATGAAAACAAAAATGATAAAAAAATAAACCTAATTTAAAGAATTAATAAATACTATAATAGTATATAAATAATACTAAAATCTCACATTTTGTCTGTAAGCTGACATGTACGGCACAGTTCTTTTCACGGTTTAATCTCAAACAGAGCCCGTACCGTGAGTTGGTGTGTGATGGTTGTTGTTTTGACCCGTAGGCGCGGCGTCTAACGCTCTGAGACAGCCGTACCTGTGGCTGACCATCATCCTGACGGTGGGGACCTGTCTCCTTCCCGTCATCTGCATCCAGTTCCTCTATCAGACCATCTATCCCTCGGTCGGAGACAAGGTGAGAGCCTTCAGTCACACAGAGTGTTCAATACAACACATGCAGAGACACTACAGCCTCACGTTCTTCTTCCTGCAGGTCCAGAGGAACAGGAAGAAGTACGAGCTGGAGGATGAAGAAGAGGAGAAGAAGAAGAGGAAGCCAACGTTCCAGCGTGGCGGACGCTCCCGTCGCTCCGCTTACGCCTTCTCGCACTCGCGCGGCTACGCCGACCTCATCGCGTCAGGACGCAGCATACGCCAGCGACCGCGTGTCCGGCCCGAGCTCAGAGAGAGCATACGAGAGGTTCCTCAGGCCGAGAACATCTGAAACCAGCCCCAGACACTCACTACCCTGTCATATCTGAGCTGCCCACCGCAACGGGCCAATAGGAAGAGGCCAAGTGTCATTAAAGGGGAGGGACTAATGAAAGAGCCAATGGGAAATGGGGACGAAGGGCTTTAAAGGGAAAGTACAAGTAAACACTCACCGCTGACCAGGACTGGTTTTAACGTTGTGCACTGCGTACAACAAATTGTTTGTCTCAGGTTTTTATTTCGTGTTTTTTTTTTTTTACTTCAGTCACAATTTTGTCAATTGTTTTTTTTTTTTGCACAAATTGAAAGAGAGAGTGTGTGAATGTGTATTTCTAATCTCACCGCCCATTTAAATCTTGTTTTATACACTGCAGATGGGTTTTGACTTGTTTTTCATTAAAAATATTAAAACGTTCTTAAAGCATTACATATTTAGTTTAAGATAACACTATATAAACAGAGAATATATTTCTCACCACCTTGACCACTTTTTCTTGCTTTAAACTAAATAAATAAATAATGCTTAAAACCAGAAAAATCTGCCAATGAAAAATTCAACTTAATTTTAAAACAATCTGTAAAACTGATGTCATGCAATTTTGCTTCTCGTGGACATTCATCTGGTTTGATCCTTAAACAAAATACATTTATTATAAATAAATAAATAATGCTTCAAAGCAGAAAAAACAGACAATGAAAAATGAAACTTATTTTTAAAACTGTAAAATTACACAATTTTGCTTCTCAAGTAAAGTCATCTTGTTTGATCCTCAAGCAAAATTAATTCATTTGAAAAACAAAATAGCATAATATCCATTTTACAGAATGTTTTAAACACATATTTTGTTTAAAAAGGTTTCAAAATGAAATGTTTATATATATTTGATTGAAAAACAAGGCAAAAATGCTGATTGAGAAACTGATTTTTCGCAGTGTAGTTACTACATTTGAAGACGTTTATGTTTAAATGTGAACTTGTTATGAAATGATCATCTTGATTTCCAAAATATTTGTTATCCTTTTTGCAAAATGTGCAAGCAAAGGGCTGAATCCCACAAACCTCACGATGAAATTTCCTCACGGTTGAATCTTTTCAGGGTGTCGGTGTCTCGTTCTCGATGTTGTTCCTTATGAACCGTGACAGAATGTATGAATTTAGAGTGCTGAGAACTCATGTTTACATAGATACTTCTGAGCTCATCTGTTCCTCCAGACCTCCACTGTCAGCGGAACAACCGTAAAACCTGCCTAGAGGGTCGTAGATAATTGTAATGCACTCGCTGTGGTGTTTTCTCTGATTTAATATTTCATTGTTGTTCTGTGAGCTCATGTTAAATGGGTCGTCTTGCCATCAGTTGCTGACAGAAATATCTGTCTGCAGAAGAATGAAGCCTGTTTTCTTCTGTCATGGAACTGACTTTGCACTTTGGTATAGGGACTTGGGAGGTGGACGCATCTTTCTCATTTTAACACTAGTTACATGAGAACTGTTACAAGATTTTAAATAATCTACCATGTTATGATATCATTTATGAGAAAACACTATTTATTAGGCTGGTTGTTCTAAATGTGTATGTTGAATGAACGGAAAAGGCTTTATCCAGCCAGATTTATTGTACACAGCTCTGTGGATTGTCTGTATGTAATGTACTGTAATATACTTTGCACAAATGTCTATAAATAAAGAGTAAGATGTAGAATGTTTGACTTTGTGTCATTGTTAATGGTAAAAAAAACAAACTTAATTGTGCATTGTTTATTGTTAAGGTATATAAAACTAAATCATAAGAATATAATTTTTCTATATAATTAATTTTTATTTTATGTATATTTTTGGATTATATTTATGTTTGGAAAAAAAATATTGCACACATTTATTTGTTAAAAAATACAGGAAAACAGTAATATTGTGAAATATTATTACAATTTAAAATATATGTTTTATTTGTTTTCTATGTAAATATATTTTAAGATAAAACATTTGACTCATTATTTATTGTAAGAAAATATAACTATAGATCATCAGAATAATTTTTCTCTATATTTAACATTTTTATTTTATGTACATTTTTGTATTATATTTGTTTTTGAAAAAAAACACTTGCACATTTATTTAATCAAAAATACAGTAAAAACTAATATTGTGAAATTACAATTTAAAATATATTTTTTATTTGTTTTGTATGTAAATATATTTTAAGGTATAAAACATTTGACTATCATTATTTATTGTAAAAAAATATTTATCTTACACATTTATTACTGTATATAAAACTATAGATCATCAGAATCATTTTTCTCTATATTTAAAATTTTTATTTTATGTACATTTTTGTATTCTATTAGTTTTTGGAAAAAAAAAATCTCTTTTTCTCACCAAGGCTGCATATATTTAATCAAAAATACAGTAAAAACATTTGGCTTTGTGTCATTGTAGTAATATGTCTATCTTATATCTTAATATTACACATTATTACATTTACATTTACATTTAGTCATTTAGCAGACGCTTTTATCCAAAGCGACTTACAATTGGGGGATACATAAAGCGATTCTTCTTAAAGAGGCAAACAGACACAAGAAGTGGTTGTAATACCAAGTTCTTAGACATTGTTCAAATAAGTACAAGCTAGAAAGAGAAGGAATAAATAGAAATACATTTTTAAATTTTTTTTAAATTTTTTATTATGATGAATTCAAGTAGCTTCGAAAGAGATGAGTTTTCAGCTGTCGCTTGAAAATTGTCAGGGATTCAGCATTCCGGATAGGGGTGGGAAGATCGTTCCACCAGCCAGGAACGGTGAACGAGAATGTTCTGGAAAGTGATTTTGAGCCTCTCTGTGATGGTACCACGAGGCGTCGCTCACTAGCGGATCTCAGACTTCTGAAAGGGATGTAAATTCGTAGTAGTGAGTGGAAGTAGGCGGGTACTGAGCCTGTGGCTGTTCTATATGCAAGCATCAACGTCTTGAACTTGATTCGTGCCGCGACCGGTAGCCAGTGCAAGGAGATAAAGAGAGGTGTAACATGGGAATAAAAGCGAGGCTCTCTTTACTAACTGTGTGAATTCATAATTAGTGTGTGTATATTATCTATACAGTGGAGTGTGAGTCCTGCAGGCGTTGAGCTAGTCTCCTTGTTTTCTGTAGGCCATTCATTAGGTACCTATCTACCTGTAGTCTTTTGTCACCTGTAATGCTGATAGCAGTGCTGGATTGCATTGCATTAATTATTGATTTCAGTCTTTGTGTTTACAGTAACATTGAATGAAATGGCAAGATTTTGTGCATCTTTGAGGGAATCCCACAAAATCTTTCAAGAACTTAAACAATTTTTATTGACCTATAGGTCATATTTTATTATGTTTAATGTGTAAAAATGTACTCTTGTTACTGTTAAAGGAAAAAAAACATACATATAAATATATGTACTTTTTATATCAGTCATTTAATATGTAAACAATATGAAATTGTAGAAATTCTATATTATATATATATAAAAAAAAACATTTATTATGCTGCTTTTATACTCATTTTAATAACAAATAAAAACACTAATATTACAGTTATGAAATTTACTTTCCAGAACGAAGTAACTCGGATCTGGGTGCATTATATTAAAAGAATTGGCGTGAAAATGTGCTTAATTGTCAAGGAAAGCGATATCCTGAATACATTTTCTTTATGCAAAATATAATTTTTAAATACTATCTGTCAGATTAGTGGCTTATATATATGATATTGACTTCTTGTTGTGAAATTTGCTTCTTTGATTTCATAATGTAAATGTCGTTTGATTGGTTGGAAAATGATTATTATGGAATGGATCTACATCAGTGGCTTTCATTAGGTGTGCGAGTAACAAAGCTGCTTTCACCTGAAGATGTAAGTCAAGAGAGTTCACATCATCTTCTGTGATCAGAACAGACTTAATATGAACCAGGATGTTTAACCAAAACCTGCTTTACGGCAGCTTCTGAGACACAATTTCACAATCCTCATCAGGGAATGTGATACAATGGCACGTCAACAATGTGTGTGTAAAGGGTGTGTGCTTAACAAAGAGGTGTGTGTGTGTGTGTAGGGCTCTGTGTCTACCCATCAAACCCGTTTCATGTGTGTTGACTCTTGCTAAAGCGTATAGTGTAATCAGGTGTAAATTTAAATGTTAATTTAGAATCTAAAATATTCTTCCTTAGGTGACTGAAAAACAGGCCTCATTAGTCAAACTAATGAAAATGTATTTCTCCCATGATCCTCCAGGTTTTGCTCGGCTGATGATGAGGCTCTGAGGAAGTCTCTGGTGGTTTCCGCAGGCGATGGGTGCAAACACCAGTCAGGTGAGCGACCTGTCAGAGAGCCAGAGCATCCGCACTCTGATTGGTCCAGACGCCATATCAGAGAATGAGCCCTTCTGGAACCAGCTGATCTCATTCACCTTCACCAGCCCCACCTGCAGGTGAGGGGCTTCTCCCACCCCCATCACTGATGGCAAACTAGGCACCTTTCAGTGAAAATGTGCTGTTCTGCCTCAGAAATAGGTCATTTGTGTGATTTGTGAAGATCTGATGAGTTGCTTGGATGTGAGGGCAGGGGGGGGGCTATGTGAGGATTCACAAATGATGAGCATTAAATGCTGATCCACACGATCGAAAGAGCACTATTTGTTTGGATCTTGCATTTGAAAATGCAATGTGCCAAAAATCTTTCCAAATTTGAAATTTATCAATAAAAATATCGCCAAAATAAAAATTCTAAAGGCCGTTTCACACTGAGCGCGATGCGAAAAAGCGAGGCCATTCGCCAACGAACGTTCCTTTCACACCGAGCACGAAATGATTGATCACCTTCTGCTAATTCACGCCTGGGTGGCGCCGACCAGCAATGCATTTTTACTCAGATATGTATCTCATATATGGATTTAACATCGTCCACTGCTCAATATACAGCATTAAATATAGCTAAATAAAGTTTGGTTCTACGCCAGAAACACAAACTATCTATAATGCTTACAAGAAAACATCTTAAAATATAAATATAAGTACAATTAGCATCAAGCCACATTTGAAAATGTATGTGATTTATTAAAGGGGTCATATGATGCGATTTCAAGTTTTCCTTTCTCTTTGGAGTGTTACAAGCTCTTGCTGCATAAAGAAGATCTGTAAAGTTGCAAAGACTAAAGTCTCAAAACCAAAGAGATATTCTTTATAAAAGTTAAGACTTGTCCACTCCCTCGTTGTGTATTTTTCATTTACACATGAAATATGAAAGCAAATAGACATATGATTTTGACTATATATTTTCTGTATGTGTTTTGTTTGCAGCTCATGGTAATTTTATAACATTATAACAAAGTTTACACTTGTTTTCGAAACCGCACCACCACTCTTGCCTTTTTGTGCAACAGCAGCTGCTGTGGGCACATGGGCACATGTCAAATCTGATTGGACGGCCCGTTTCATCGTGG